GATAGATGGATAGGTGGATGGATGGATAGATGGGTGGATAGGTGGGTGGATAGATGGATAGATAGATGGATAAATGGGTGGATGGATAGATGGGTAGATAGATGGGTGGATAGATGGATAGGTGGATGGATGGATGGATGGATGGATAGATGGGTGGATAGATGGGTGGATAGATGGGTGGATAGGTGGATAGATAGATGGATAGATGGATGGATGTACGGACAGAGACAGATTTATACTTTTATTGATCCCAGAAAGAAATCCTTGTAGCATCATGGAATTTAAAATACACATTAAACTAATTAATAATAATGATAATAAAAAACATTATAAACTCGTTTAAAAATAAATAAATAAATGTTTGCAGCATTTTGAAGACGTCTTCAATCCATTATGGTCTTTATCCCACTCGGATTAGCCTTTAGCTCAGAATCAAACTCTTATTTCTCCAGACTGATGTCATTCAAAGAGCTGTCTACAGCAGGTAAGATATTAATTGTTGATAACCTTTCCTTAGAACCTCACTTCCAAACATCTGAACCTTCTCTTTAAGCACTAATTCACTGAGACATTGATAAATTAGCATGAACATGTAAGCAGCAAATAGGTCTAAACAGCCATGTAAAAATATTATATGCCATATTTTGTCTGCTGTACAATAAAGTTCATAAAACGTGAGGGTTTGCACAGTAATCAGGACGTTTGATCTTAAATAAACAAGAATAAATGTTCCGTCTCCCTCTCCTTCAGGTTATATTTTACGACAGCGACTGGAACCCCACGGTGGACCAGCAGGCCATGGACAGGGCTCACAGGCTGGGTCAGACCAAACAGGTCACCGTGTATCGCCTGATCTGTCAGGGCACGATCGAGGAGAGGATCCTGCAGCGCGCCAAGGAGAAGAGCGAGGTCTGAAAATGGACTTTTAATCCTACAAAACAAAAGACTAAATAAAATAAAAAAACCTGATTTAATTCAGAAGTTATGGCAGCGGTTTAAGGGAGATCCAGTTATTTGTTTGTTTATTTGTATAGTTAATGTCATGCAATCGTATGAGCTATCAGCATGTATTAATCAGAGTGTATTAAAGCTTTAATGTTCACATGTAACCAGATACAAAGGGTGGTCATCTCAGGAGGCAGCTTTAAACCCGACACCCTCAAACCTAAAGAGGTGGTCAGCCTGCTTCTGGACGACGACGAGCTGGAGAAGAAACGTGAGTTCTCAGTTTAGTTTTACAAATCGTTCAAAGCTCCTCCAGCTGCAAGGACGGAAGCATGGTGTCTTTTCCTGCAGTGCGTCAGAGACAGGAGGAGAAGAGGCAGCAGGAGGAGAGCAGCAAGGTGAAGGAGCGCAAGAGGAAGAGGGAGAAGTACGCCGAGAAGGTACCGGAGACGTCCTCAAACACGGGAGGAAGCACCAAAATAAGATTGAATCAGGAGATGATGAGGAGTAAAAGTGTTTCCTCCGCCCCCCCCCCCCCCCCCTCCCCTCCTGCTGTGGTGTGCGCGTCTAACCCTGCAGAAGAAGAACGAGGAGTTCGAGAGCAAGCGGAAAAAGGATGCGAACCTGGTCATCCCTCACGCTCCCTCGGCCGACAACTCCAACCTGTCGGCCGATGGAGACGACTCGTTCATCAGCGTGGAGATGGACTCGGCCATGCCCAGTCCCTTCAGCGAGGTGAGGGAATTCACTGACGTGTGTGAAAAGGTCAAGATCGCCAATCAAACAAAAGATGGCGGCGATTTACTCTACGTTCGGCTGCTCAGTCGGTCTCTTGCCCTTTTTTCATAACCTTCCTATCCTACTTTGCATCTTGTTCTTTTAAAGTCGTTTGGTTTTTTTACGACTGTTTTCCTTTTATTTGCTTCATTCCAACTTCTTCCTTTCCACACCCCGTTCAATCCAAACTTCCTTGTTGCCTTTTGCTTCCTTTTTTCTTTCCTGACGTTACTTCCTTACGTCGCCCCCTTTCCTCACCGCCCGTCGCTGGACTGACCTGGTTCCTGACCCCCACCCTGTGGTGCTGACTCCCAGTCTTTGTCCGTGTCTGTGTATCCTCCTGTGTATGGGCAGATCTCCCTGAGCAGCGAGCTCCAGCCCGGCTCTCTACCCCCGGACGCCGACGCGGACGAGAGCAGCAGCGACATGCTGGTCATCGTGGACGACCCGGTTTCTTCGGCGCCTCAGTCTCGTGCCACCAACTCCCCCGCATCCATCTCAGGGTCGGTCTCTGACAACGTGAACGGTGAGAACAGGCACGGAGCAAATGCGTTCGCTTCAGAACATATAGAGTTCCTCAAAATTAGATTTATAAACCATTAAAGCTGTTATTTTTAACATTTACCTTGGGAGAAATATATATAAATAAAATGACTAATGTATAACGAATCTGTGGAGAAACTTCAAGATGAAAGTAGCATTTCTTGATCGAACCGTCCTCTTCTTTGCATCGCCAAGTTTTAAACAAAGATTTAGCTCAGTCTGCTCAGAGGACGTGAAGTTGTAGCTCGTTCTCCGTGAAACGAACCGAGTCGTAGCCATTTTTAGGTTTGCTACGGTTGATTAGTTGGTGCGGCCATTTTGAATCAGGTTTTATTCGAAAGTTGATCAGTTGTAGATGATTACTGTTAAAAATCTTCCCAATGTGTGGGGGGGCTTTTTGGTATTTTTTTTTACTGACATGGAAATCTGATGTAAATTACTTAATAATAAAAATAGCAAAATCAATTGCATCACTGTATAAAGTAAAAGAGTTTGAATGACGAAGCTTTGTATATATTGTATATTGTAATGATTGTTCCATATTTAATATATTGTACTGAAGTTTAGGAAAAAGCATGCAAAATAATTATAAATCTTGTGTTTATTTTACAAAAAAGAGCTTTAAGAATTATTAGTAGGAAGTGCTATGGTCAACCAATAAATATATTATTCATCAATTGAAATTATTACAATTTTATGATTTGGTTGAATATAGTATATAGTCGATGTATAAAGCTCATACAAAATATTACCCCCAAATATTCAGTTAAAATTTGTTAAAAAAAAGAGAGTCATTATAACCTTAAGGGAATTGAAATGTTTGTAAAACCTCCATTTAGAAGTAGAAGGAGCGCTGCGTTGTAATTCAGGGAATAGGATTGTGGATTTACCTTGATATCACCATGAAAATTTCTAAAACAATTTATGTTTAAAAAGATGATTAAGGTGAAGTTGTTGGGAAAGTATGGTGCCATGTGAAGGATGCCTAATATTTTTATTTTCACTTTGGAGATTGTTCAAGTGTAGATTGTTTTTTATTTGTAGTTATTTATTTTTTTTTAAATAAGGGGCAGATATTGTAAGAATTTTTTTCTTCTTTCTGCACCTGTTTCTTTCAATGTTTTTCTTTTTCTTTTTAATGAATTTGTTTTATTTTGTTTATTTTAAATGAATGAAAAAATGAAATACAAAATAAAATATTTTACCACTATGGATTGGACAAAGTGAGTTAAGGCCAAGTCATGCAGCATCTCGTTAGTTTGAGGTGTTCTGGGGTCCAGTGGTGAGCACGGCTAAGCAAAAGGTTAGCTTCGCTAACGCTAAACTGCTAATTGCTAAGACTGCTATCACTCAGTCTGCATCACACGTCTTCCAGTTGAAGCTGCGTTGACCAATCACGTCTTGTCATGTGTAAGCCATTCTTCAAGACACGCCCACAACAGACAGGAACTAGCTTGTAAATTTTGTTAGTGGACTTAAAGTTGGCAAAACCTAATTTAGTGGAAGCTAATCCTGCTAAGTTTCCAGAGTTAGCGAAAACACTGTTCCGTTAAACAAAGTGGAACTGTGCCCAACGCTGCTTGGGTTGCAACTCTTCAGATTGGAAGAATGTGTATTCCTGAAAACTACAATTTTTATATATATATACATATAATATAATTTATTTATTTATTTATTTTTACTTCCTCCTTTACTTCTTTGTGCCTGTAGGGGTTTCAGCCTCAGACACAATCAGTCCTGGCAGAGGCAGGTCCGGTCGGAATCGTGGACGGCCCAAAGGGTCCGGAGGCGGGGCGAAGTCTGGAGGGAAAGGACGTGGGCGGAAGTCTACGGCGGGGAGTGCGGCAGCTATGGCTGGAGCCATGGCCGGAGCAGCAGCTGCTTCAGCTGCAGCTTATGCTGCTTACGGCTACAGCGTCTCCAAAGGTTGGTGAACACTGGAAGAACAGCTGTGAAATCTGAAGGAAGAGATGAAGAGATGCATTGTTAACTTTATGCCGAGCTCTCAGCATAGCTCTATGAGACCGACATATATTACTGTATTTTTCGGCCTATAAGTCACAGTTTTTTGCATAATTTTCATGCCCTGTGACTTATACACCGAAGCGGCGTATTTATAGATTTCCCCCCATATTTATAAACCAATTTTTGGCTGAGATATGACCGTTTTCGTTCATTCTGGCTGAAAATATTGAACAGTACCATTTTCAACCACCAGATGGCACTCGAGTAATAAGGCATGCCGTTGTGTCATGTAATAGGTAAAAGTGGCTATTAATGACACAAGCGTCTTTCCATAGATTGCCACCGTCATCTGCCTGGAGCAACCGAATCAGCTTCATTTTGCTGCGCCCCCGGTGAAATGAAGCTGAATTGACCGTCAAAGTGCATTTATTAAGCAGAAGTTCAACTGAGACACACCTTTACTATGTAGTCGAGCTAACAGATAATAGTTTTAGGTGGTTATCTTGTTAAATTTCAAAGAAACGGACAGCGAGTCGCCCTCTGCGCGTTCATGGATTTTTAAAATAAAGCTAAGTTGACCGTCAAAGTGCATTTATTAAGCAGAAGTTCAACTGAGACACACCTTTACTATAATTTCAAGCAAACAAATAATTGTTTTTAAGTGTTAATCTAGTTAAATTCTTGTTAAAGTCCTCCCGTGCACACCCCCACGGCCGTTATTTGTCAGCCAATTGATTTTTGGCACAACACCGGCTCACATTTCCGTGTTGTCATCGGTGACTTATAATAAATGCGAATTATACGGCGAAGTGACATATTTATGGATTTTTCCACTTTATTAGACATATTTGGACTGATGCGACTTATAGGGCGGCGCAAAATGTACGAGGGAAAATATGGTAAATTTTGCCTGTAAAACCGTTCTCTTTGGCTGTTTGTTAGCTTTAGGCTTCGCTAGCCGACTCGCAGGAATAGCTTTCATCGACACAGCTCTGTGTGGGTTTCTACAGCTCTGGACAAACATCACACCCAGAGACTCGCATTTTTTTAGCCTCTCTTGAAAAAACCAACCTCAACTCTGTTCTCTCCATCTTCAGACCATTGTTAAAGCTATTGTTGATCTTTAAAGAGGTTTTAGAGAAAGCAGGAGTAGTTTTAAAATTACGCAGATGGACATCTTGTCCGTGCAAGTTCTCAAACCATGTGAGAGGTTCTGTTTGCTCCTGCTCCCCTCCCTCCTGAGGGTTGTTTTGTCAGAAGGTCCTGTCCACATGGAAATGTTTTTTGTTTTCATTATATCCACACAGAAACAGTGTTATAGGAAACCCTGTTGTTTTTTTTAAGTGTTCCTGAAAGGAAACAATCTTGAAATGTCATCCTTGCGCTTTTGATAAGAACCTTCTCTAATCTTAGACATTTTTTAAACAAGTGCAAAGTTGCTGTGAAACATTTTCTCAGTAATAAATCTGTTTTTTTTTTGTTGTTTAGCCTCTTTAAATGCAATCAAGAAATGATGAAAAGCACATGTTGATCAATATTCTTAAATATACAGTGTTTAAGTCTTTTTTTCTTATTGTTATAAAATTGGCACTGCTTTGTCCTAGCCTGGATGAAGACTTCTGCTCTTTCTTCCTGCTCTGTGCTCTAGAGATGATGTCACTGTTGATAAAGTACTATTAGACAGAGTGTCGTTTCAAAAGTGACCAGACTATCCCTTTAATGAGAATCAAAGGACAGTCGTTGAGTTAAAAACGTCCGTTCCACTCATGGTTTCAGTTGGTACTGCTGTTCTTTCGGCTCCTTGCAGTCGTTTTACTGACAACAGTTTGTATCTGTAGCTTTTTGAAGGTCCAAAAAGCAGCCGAGTTGTAAAATCAAGCTTTTACGAGACTTATTTTATTTTTATTGACCGTCTCTGTTTCTGACCCTCCCCTCAGCCGGCCTCTCTGCTTCCAGCCCCCTGCAGCCCTCTCTGGCCCGGGCGGGGCCCGGTCCTGCCTTCCACCCCAGCCAGAGCTCCTCTCCTCACGCCAAAGGAGGCCCGGCGACCCTGAGCCCCCACAAACAGCTGACCCACAGCCACCATCACAGCAGCCACGGCGCCGTCAGGAAGGGCAAGGGCCCCGCTGGACCTGGGGCTCGATGACATCCTGCGCCCGCATGCCTTCACACACATCTGTCTCGCACACCGACACCTGCTTTCCACTGTGACTGCCTCAGCTAAGAGAGGCAGCGTGCAGCGCCGTCGGCTCAGAAACACGTCCACAGCTTCATGGGACTTTGATTTCAGTTCACTTGGGACTAAATCAGCTTCGAGTGGTTTTTGTTTGTGCTCCGGCTGAGACGAAGCTTCGACGGCCACACGGTGACGGGTTTTGCGCACCTTTAAAAGGGCTTCACACACAGCTCCCGTCAGCACCGAGCCACGTCTTCCACGTCGTTTCCGAGTCTCATAAATGTTCAGCGGAGTATCTGATTGCTCGGAGCAAACTGGGAGTGGTTCTGCATTTCACAGAGCCTAGCGCAGGGTTGTTCAACTGGCGGTCCGCGGGCCAAATCAGGCCCACAGGTGTGCTCAGTTCGGCCCACCACTGGGTTCATTTTTAAATAAAAACTACATTTTAAACCGTAAAACTTAAACTTATTGACAATAACTGCTGGATGTCCGGCCCGCGACCCGCTGGCTTTCAGTAACTGTGGCCCCCGGAGCCGTTCAGTTGAAGAGCCTGCTCACGCACACATCGCGCAAAAACGCAATCCGCAGCTTTTCTACTAAAGCTCCTATTTTTGTAACGGATTTAACACAGCGGGGCGGTTTGAACGAAGACACTCGTGAGAGGAACCGTTGCAGAATTTTAACCCAAACGGAAAAAGAAAGTCAATTATATTTTATGTCCAGTAGGAAACGCACGGCTCAGATGGAGGGGCTGAATCAGCAGCGCTGCTAACTTTAAACGAATACTCCGACCGTTCGCTCGTCTGATGTAAGTTATTTAAGTTGTGTTGAAAACGAGGCCATTTGCGACGTGTGATCAAAGTCACGTGTAAAACTGTAAATTGTTCCGTTTTTTTATTTTAACGAGCGTTTTTCCTCGTCCGTGGGTGTTTTAGAGTAAAAACGAGCCGAGCACTACATCTGTTCTCGTAAGTTTTTTTTTGTTCATAGTGTGATTAACGGTATGGAGTTGTACAACCGTGTAAATAACGATAAACGCAACGTTTGTTCTTTCCTCGTTTGCCTGTTTATTTTTATATGTTGTGTATATTTGAGGAAATAAAAGAATGTCATTTTATGAACGAGAGGAGTTCAAGTCAAATAAAGGTGCTTATTTTGGAGCAATTTGCTGCTTTTTTTTAAAAAACTTTCAAACTTAACTCTTTTTTTTTACTTTTTTTAATACATCAAAGCAATTTGAACTAAAATATAGTCAGTTTTCTAAATACAGACCTAAACTGGTGTGGTAGTAGCTGAGACTGATCCCCAACACACATTCTGATTGCACAGATTTTTGCACGAACTTTTTAAATCAACTATTTGGAGTCAACCCTCGTCTGTTAGCAAAATATCTCATGAATCACTGAATGGGTTTTAACGAATCTTTCAGGAAGTATTCACTGAGTTCACATTTGAAGCTCGTTAACTTTTGGAGGTATGCCTGTTCAAGATGGCTGCCACAGCTAGTCCACATTAGCAGACACAAAAATGGCTTTATCTCAGGTAATTTAGCAGACATTAAGCTTTCGTTTGGTGTGGTAGTAGCTGTGAGTCATTCACAACACATACTCTGAGCGGGACATCTCGTGATCTTGCAAGAGTTCAAGGTTTGAACAAATTCACCACAACTCCTGTCACTTCTCAACACAAGACGATCTTATATAAATAAAAAGGCATCAGTATGCACAGGAGGTAAAGTCTATTTTGGAGAAACTTGACACCAAACGCTTAAAATATTTTATTTTATAACTTCATTTACCAACCGTGCAAAATGTGTCCAACTGGAAAAATGTCCTGGATCTGCAGAACACGTTTGGTCCTGATCTTATTTCACCAATTTAAAAAGACGTCTGAAGAAATTCAAGTGTAGTTCTCCAAGCAACATCTCAGTCAAGGATGATTCACTGAATGATAAGCGTGTCTTGAATCAACCTGCATCATGAAGGACACCACTCACCCAGCACACTTTTTGCCCCGCTCCCCTCAGGAAGGAGGTTAATGAGCATTTAGTGTAGAACCATTAGACTGAGGAACGGCTTCTACCCTGAGGCTGTTGGACTCATGAATCTCTAACCAGAATAATCACTGCGGAAAAAAAAAAAAAAAAAAAAAAAAATCGCATCATGCTGCTGATCCGTTTCATGTTGCTAATTTCATGTGTTCATTCGTATTCATCTGATCAGACTCGTGTTCGTGCTGCTGTTTGACATGTTTTTATGCTTTTAGTGCAGAGTATTTAGTTTTTCTTAGTGCATTACATTTTTTTGTTTGTAACTGGGACCCCGTGTACATCTCGTTTCGCCACGTGGTGCAAACGACAACTCTTGAGCAGACCAGAACAAATTCTGGTGTACTGAGGAGCAGAACTTCAATACCCACGTTCACCCTGAAGGTTTTCATTTAATGGGTTTTAACACGACTGATGGAGGCTCTGGGATTTAATCAAGAAGCACGTCAGCAGCTTCCTGGTGCCGTGATACCAGAGCTCACGAACAGGACTGCCAAGTCCAAGTTTTTTCCAGGTCAACAGCTCAGGACTACCCGAAATCACAGCTGAGGGTCGAAGCTACTCTGGTCAGAGTTTTCACGTAGTTTTGTTAATTGTACATTTTCAAAACGCTGCTCAGCTCACCTTCAAAAACGTGAAATAAAGTCTAAAGTACTCGTTTGGCCAACATCAGAGTATCTGCAGGAGTGGTATGTGGCTCAAGCCTCAGGTTGCAGATTCTGAGTGTCCACTTCTAGTCCTGCAGGGCCACTAGTCAGGTTTTAGATGTTCATCTGCAACACCTTTGGTCACTGGATAATAACCGTCTTCCTTCAAAGAGACAAAGACTAGAGTGTGTTTCAGCTTTTTATTTGCATTTTGGCATTAATCTGGATGGAAGTGTTTGTTTTTAACCACAGCAGCCATCCGGCACATTAAACACATACAAGTTGCACCGTTTTGTTCTAAACTGGACGGCAGAGTTGAGTACAAACCAAACCGCACAAAGTTTACAGCCAACAATGATTGCACATTTTGTGGTAGTGTTAACAGATTTAATGCTTCCCTTTCTTCGTTTTAGATTTAAACACTGGATGGGCGTGTGAACCTAGAACAGAAAAGGCAGGTAAAGCCTCTTGACAGGTTTATCTACGAAGTAAAACAAGGGGAGGAGCTAATGAGCCACCAAGAGATAAGACACCACATCAAGCGCCACTCTCTCGATGGAAAACAGGTGGTGGTCTTCCACGTGTGGGCAGCTGCTCCTCATGAACTCTGCCAGGCGGAGCAGGTACTCCAGATTGTGGCCCGTCTTCCCCCGGCACACCGCGATCTGGGCGCCGATCTCCTCTGGGCTGGCTGGTCCCAAGTAGAGGGGATTGTCAGAGGTGGCGATGTACACCAGCGCTGGAACAGGCGACCCGGCCTCCTCGTTTGGAAAGAAATCCACCATCTTGGTGATGTAACCGCCGCAAACCGTTTCACGGACATTGAGGTACTTGAGGGACTCTTCCACCTGGGAGGCAGACACCTCAAACGCCACGCCCCACGTGCTGGCCTGAGGAGAAGCAAAGTCAAAAGATATTTATAGAAGGAAAGTGTTGCAGGAAACGCCACTGCAGTTTCTCAGAGTTGGCCAATGGGAGCAGAGCTTTCACTTACGTCATCGTCTTCAAGCAGCGTCACCACCCTTCCAGGCTGAACAGAGGAAAAACAAGGTCACGTCATGGAGAACACACGTTACACCAAGCAGTCAATATTCGACATTCAGTTCATTTCCATAGCTTGAATTAGATTCTTACCAACTCGTCACTTCCACGGTGGAAGTTGTCTCCGTGCCAGAAACGTCTCTTGTAGCCCTTGATGTAACCGACCTCGCTCCTCTTGTACTTGAAGTCCGGCTTCCACACCAGCGAGCCGTACCCGAAGATCCACAGGCTGCTCTTCCCGGAGAGTATGTCTTGAGGCTTCATTTTCGAGGATGATGTTCTGATGAAATCGATCAAACGAATCTCTGTCGTCCTTTCCAGCCGAGGTGCTTAGCTAGTTAGCTTCCACCGGTCCAGGAGGAGCGGTACCGGTTGGCTCGTCGGGATACCGCGGACGGTACTCGAGCCCAACTGCTTAGCAGTTGCGAAGATGGAATTTCGCAGGTGGGGTTGCCTATGCATCGCCATTGCATTAGTGTTGCCGCATTACGCCTTAAAAATCCATCATGGCAGCCGATTCGGCCTGCGAATGAACGACGGGGGGGAAATAAAAACCGTTTGAGCCAGCTGCTTTGCCGGCTGACGATAGCGTCGATTTAGTATTAACGGAATAAAAGATCGAGGGCCCTGAAATGTTCCCGCTTAAAACGCGTCGCTGTTTCTAAATTCGCCCTCAAGGACGACAATCTCCTCAGACGCGTTTCCTCGATAACATGGCGAACCGCCGTTCAAGTATTTATAGGAAGGTAGGCGGGCCTACACCGAGAGTTTTGACCAATCACGTTAAAGGGTTCTCGTCGTCGTTTCCAGTATACCCAAACAGAGGTTGGTGCGCCGAATGAGGCGGGACTTAAATCCAAAACTCATTGTACGATTGGTCCAAAAAGATTACTGACGTAGTGATACATTTAAGTCTGATTTGTCCCTTCGCTGAACTACGCTTTTTGATTGGTCGATTGAGCTGTCAATCCCCTAAAATGACCTGGCTGATGCAATTTACCACAACATTTCAGGCCTAGCGACATCCCTCTAGGCGTTTCATCATCCTTGACTAGAACAGAATGTTACAGGTCGGGAGGAGGACTGTACTTGTACATTATGTATGTGATTTTGACTACAGACATATAATACATATACTAAATATGTTCATTCAACCTTTATTTATACAGGTTAATCCCATTGAGCCTCGGGGACTCATTTAAAAGAGACCTGATTTTAAAAGAGAGACCTGATTTTAAAAGAGAGACCTGATCTTAAAAGAGAGACCTGATTTTAAAAGAGAGACCTGATTTTAACAGAGCGATGGCAACAGTAGACAACAAAGACAATAATAGACAATCATAAAGGATGCATACAAGTGGAGATTTTTATTTATTTATTTTTTAATGTATGCATATATACTATGTTAACAGTCTTGGATGTTGACTGAATCAGAATGTTAATGAACCTTGAATGTTCTTGTGTTACTCTAGCTGTAAACTACCTGTTATAAATTGGCCCTATATAAAAACAAATGAAATAAATATATTTGTGTATATAACAAAGGACCATTTTAACAGTTTAATTGTGTATCAAGTCAGCTAAAGAACAAAACAAAAGGTTAATTGAATCATGACAAAGTATTATTTGACTCAGGAGTAGAGAAAATAAAAACTATGTGGCCTAATCAGAGCCCTGTATATTTAGATGAGTCTGTGTTAAAACTGTAATCTGGTCTCCCTTGACTTCTCTATAGAACTTCAAAATTTTAAAATACAAAATCTTTTGGGACTAAATACTGCGACTGCGCAAAGCTACAGCTGTTCACAACAACTGCAGCAGTCAGTTAATTTTACAGTTCAGCATCCTTTTTGTTTGCAATCACTTTAACGACCTTATTGTGGATTTGTAGCTATTACATTTCAAACTGCTGTCTCATTTGATTTGATCTCCTATAAAAGAGGTTTTAAAGCTCAAGAGTTCTATTTCTTAAATAAAGCATTGAAAACAAACATCTGTTAATGTTTTAACTCAGCATGTCATGGTGACACCCCATGTCTCCGTTTGACTGCCCAGGTTGTAATAACCTGTGAACTCAAGCTGGCAAATTCATCTAAGGTTTGTAAAAAAATATATAAATAAATAAATAAATCTCTGCAGCAACAGCGTCGGCCAATCTGTGCTCAGTAAAGAGATGATCTAATAATAGATGGTATTATCCGTCTTGATAAGAGGCCCAGCAAGTGTATCAGCTCCTCATAAATCTAAAGCAAGAAACAATTCCCACGTCTGAGGCACAAACTTCCTCTCTCAGAGCTTCTTTCACCACAGAGGGCCAGAGTCCTCACTGACACCAGCAGCGTTTGTGTTTTGACTGTGAAACACTCATTAGTCTCCAGTGAAAACCAGATGAGAAGGAGTTCAGGCCTGCTGAAAGAGCCAGTCGTGAAGGTCCTGCCTGTCTGTAGCGTTGGGTCTAAAAGTTCATTTTTATAGGAAATATTTTTATATTTTCAACATGTTAAAAATTACACACCTAGCAATCCTTTAAGGAATGCGTTTCATTCCTAAGTTTAAGAAGAAACTCATCTTATGCAATCACAAAATGTCCCACGGAATAAAATGTAACATCAAATGTTTGCTAACGTCGATTAGCTGTGATGGCCATCTTTAATTAGATTTACTCTAAAAGTTCATTAGCTCTTTGTTTACATCTCAGGATTACTTTCTGAAGATTTTATTAAAAGTCATTCAGTGATTTATGATATGTTTTGCTAACAAACAGGGTTAATGATACAATTTTAAGCAAGACTGCACTCGGAGTTCATTTTGTGAATGACTCTCAGAAGTAACCATGACAAATTTTGAGCACATTATCCATAAATTTGACTGAGTTATGGCTATTTTTGTATATTCTAAAGCGAGCGAGCTGTGGCAGCCATCTTGAAAGGAGCTTGCTCTAAACATTAATCGGTCGTAGATTTAGCAGTGACTTCTTAAAAGTTTAAGAAAAGCTGTGTGGTGGTTCATGAGATATTGTACTAACAGACCTAAATTCATTGCAAATAATTAAAGACAAATTGTTCGACAAAATATGGTGCAAAAGTTTGTTTTTTTAAAGTTATTAGCTGGGACACCTTCTAGTCTTTAGATTATTCCAATGTATGAAACTTTTCTCCATGTTTTATTTTTTTATTTTCTTAATTTTGACTCCAGGTTTGTAACTGTGCTTTTGCTGATTGTTTTACTTCCTGTGCAGGGAGTTCTTACTGACATCTAGTGTTAATTAAAAAGACAACTGTAAGTGCAGGACTCCTGCAGATCAGACAGCAGCATTTTATTTACCTCCAGAGGCGGACATTATTACAATCATACCACAAAAATGGAGCAAATATGCAAAATGTCTTGCTGTATATACTATACAGTATATATATATATATTTCATTTAGCCTTTATTTATCCAGGTAGTCTCATTGAGCCACGAGAACTCATTTTCAAGAGAGACCTGTTTAGGGAGCAGATGGGGGTTAAGGGCCTTGCTCATGGGCCCAGAGTGGGGCGAATGAGGGTGGGGGCAGGTGTGGGTGCTTCACCTACCCCACCCACATTTTTGATGTTGTTGGTACCTGTGCTTAAAACTTGTGCCTCTACACTTAGAGATGGGGAAAAATCTACAATAAAACTTAAAGACAGCAACATTTTTTATGAATACAAAAGAAAACCTATGTATTTTGTAAAGTTTCTTAAATGTGTTTTCTGAAACACTTTCTGGTTCATTGCTGTTTTTCATGATTGTGTGCTCTTTGAAATTTTCATATGCTGCTGGATTTGTTGCCGTTCTTTGTGATCCGCTTGTGCTTTTGCACTCCTGGCTGCTTGATTGCAAATTAAACACAAACTTGGCTCATGATTGGAAACTAAATTAGGAATTTAATTAAAGTGAGGAGGATTTGAGGCTTTGACTCTAATCCAACGAGGGACAAGGAGCAGTTCAGAACTCCTGATTGTGTTTAAGCAACAGTTTTGTTTTATTATTTTCAAGAAGCTTCTACGTTGCATCCAAAACCGGAAATGCAAACTCCTAAATCTGCTTGGGCATTGACAGAAACTCAGAAATTTCCTTTGCATCGATAGTGCTGATGAGGATGCGTGTCTGCACCCCGTCTTGTTTGGAGGTTGTTTTCCTGCAAACTCAAGTCATCTGTGCAGAAAATCCTCCCCAAAAACAAGCTGCAGAACCCAGAAAAGAAAGCGATGCGTGAGAAAATCTGCTGGCCTGTACCGGCGTGTTCTGCATTTTTTAATCAGGGAGGAAACAGGAACTGATGTCACTGGGTCACAAACAGGATGCAGTGATTATAACACAATGAAAATGGCCGGCGATGTTATGGACACCCAGAGGCCAAAGAGCAGGGTCCTAGCATGTGCGATCATGTGCAAAACGAGGGTGTGTGTGTCTGTTTATTGGTGGGAAGTAACTCTGGAGTGCTATCAGGATAGGTCAGGTAGCAGAGCAGAAGCGGCCTTTACTGGGTGATTAATTATCGTGATATGAGCTCAAACTTTCCCAAACTTTTCTTTCTTTCTTCGTGCACGCATATACTGTACACCATCTCCGAGCGGAGGATGCCCAGGGTCAAGCAGCTGACAGGATGCGTGTGAGGAGGAGAAAATAACATCCAGGTTCTCTGCTGAGTGTTGATTGCTTCTGATTAGGGGGTGTTGACTGTTGCAGGATTTCTGTTGATTGGAGGCGGAAAACATTTTGATCATGTAGATGGTGAATGAAAAAATAAACAAAAAAACTAATCCATTAGCGGGGTCTGTTGCGTGGAACAGGGACAAATTGATTGATCAAATTGTTTTGATAACTTTTCTATAGCAGAGATCGTCCCTCGCAGATCCACTGGCTCCCCTCCTCCTCATGCTCACATCCACAGCAGTGCCAGCCCAGCTTTGTTTGTTGGAGTGGGTGGTACAGAACCGGGCTTTGAAATATTGCTCCTAACCCTGAGGGGGAGGCAGGCATTTGGGGAGCCTGCAACAGCCTGAGTGTAGTTTTTTTAATTTTTATGGGAGGAGGTCTGTGCACTCTGTGGGTCATGCACACGGGGTGAGAGGCATGGCATATGCTGCTGTTTTTATGGCACCGCAGACTCACTCTGCCGCCCCCCACCCACAGCATCTGCTTGGCTGGCTGTGAGTCTTGTGCATGGATGCGTGTGCGAGCATTACGAGGGGGTGAGGGGCCGAGGTTCTCCTTTGCCCCTGCGCCTGGCTTTGTTTCACCATTTCCAGCTTGAGGGGGTGGTTTCCGTGGAAACGGATTTGAATTTCAAGCCAATGTAACGCCAGAGAGAGAGAGAGATATTGAGGGTTGAGTGAGAGATGGGTGTGAGCCAAAAGCGTTTCCAGGAATTAGAGTAGTTGTGCTACATGTGAGGGAGCTTTGTGTCTTTATTAAATGTAAATAAAATAAAATAAAATAAAAGCAAACTGCTCAAAGGTGAATAACTCTTATGCATTGATCAGGGTCACATTTTGGATTTTTAAGGAATGTCCTTGCTATTTTCAAAGAGGTTCAGTGGAAAACCTGTATGAAGAATAAATATCTTACCTGTTGGAGATAGTTTTTTAAAGGTCTCATTTAAGAAACAGAGTGGGGCCAGGACCAAAGCTAATTGCTGATGTCTTAAAACATCTTCAGTCTCAAAAATCTCACAACGGTTCATGCAAACACTTATAAACCTTTAGACTGCTATCAGTTTGGCACATATGTATTTATATTTAATGTAGTGGTTATTTGCAGGCACAAGTAGCGGCAGAGCCGTGAGCTCTGAGACTCTTCTGGTGAGTTCAATAACAGCGGGAATATACAATATTTCAGACATAATAATCTTGTGATGCAAAATCAGTGACAGCATAAAGGTTTATATAATAAAGGCTGCATGAGCCACAATAAAATGTTTACAACTGGAGTTGTTTTAAAGGGATCGTCTGGTGATTTTTGAATCAAGTCTGTCCAGCAGCTATCAATTAGAATGAGCAGCGACATCAGTCACAGAACATGAAGTATATAATTTTTTTTTAAAAGCCTTCATCCATGCTAGGCTAATAACTAGCCAAACTTGGACCCTTTAATATTGTTTTCCAGGCTTATAAAACAAGTCTGTCTCAAAAATGTCATTTCTGTGTGCTACATTACCATAGATAAAATTTTAACTTTTGCACATTTGCACATCATATAGTTTGGCATTGTATCTACCAACGTCCGTGTTACTTTGCTACTTACTTATTCTTTCACACTGGTTTAACTTTATTTTAGAACTAGTTGTTTTATAAGCCCCAAAGAAATTATATGAAATTGCTCAAGGTTTGGCTAGCTGTTAGCCTAGCTTAAAGGAAGACTTTTCTTTTTATCATACTCAGGTTCTTTGACCGATGTCACCTCTCTAACTATCTAGATCTATATGACGGAACATCACTTCAAAAATAACCAGACTATTTTATTGAGATGGCAGTAGTTTAAGTGGGTCTGTTCAGATTAGCTATTAGCATGTCGACACGATCCAAAATAATTCACTTCAAAAGTAGATTACTGCTGTTATAAAACAACTCAAATTATTACCTTTTCAAAGTGGTTTATGTAAATATTATTCAAATTGTAACATCTTGGCTAATTAAAAAAAAAATTTCTATAAAAATATTACGATGTTCCTGCAGGAAGTGCCCCAGTCTGGAGCAACGGCTAGCTTTTGCTAACCGCACTTATAATTAATTCTACAATTTGATGGCAATAACCACGTAATGTGAAAAAAGAAAGTGGTTTAAAAGCTTATAAAAGTGTTCACATGAACCACTTAAGATATTATGAGATTTGAATCGTTTTAAGACAGCAGCAATCCTATTTGGTCTTGACCTCGGTTGGATTAGCCGTTAGCTTCAGGCTAAAACTCATTAAATTAAGGCCATATAAAAAAAAAAAACCTAGACAACTGTTATAATGCTATTTCTTTAAAACATTTCCAACGAAGCCTCGCTTCAAAATGACCGGAATAGGTTTGTGAACAAAATATAAAAAGAGAACAAGACGCAACAACTGCTTGTTGTCATGGTCATTATTTAAAAACACGTCAAAAATAATTTCCTTTTTTTTCTTTTTCATTTACTTGACAAACAGTTACCAAGGAAGTTTTATTCTTCATAAGTTTGGTCCTTATAAATATGCATTATATACAAAATAATATTATAAAACATATAAAGAACAGTGTCATATTTAAATTAAACTCTGGAAATAATCATTAAAAAACATTACATTATTGGTTCTTCTGCTTTTGAGATTCATTATAGGCAGGCAGTGGTGTGACAGTCTTTTTCTCATTGTTTTTCTCCGTTAGTTGCATTTAAAAAAATCTCTTTCCTATGCGCACTTTCTCTTGGATCTTCCTGGCACTGCACCATTACCGGACTCCTGTGGTTTTTTCCTCTTGAAATCTCCGTTGATTAAGAAGCATTTTTCCTCATGCTGTGTTTTTATTTTTTCCCCTTCCTTTCTCTTCTTGTAGTGCAAATGAACCAAGAACAAACAAGGGCACAAATTTAGCTTCAACCCCCCCTCTTTTAAGGCTTCGAGTGAATTTTGCGCTGCATACAGTCTCCACCCTTTACGCTGACAAAACCAACCGGTCATTTTCACATGATTGACAGCAGAAGATTACTTTCGGGTATTCATCAGTTTCTTTCAGTGTTTCCGAAGTTGGATTGTGACAGCGGGACAATTTCACTTCTTTTAGTCCCTGAGTCTTGCATAGCAGGCAAAGCTGGCAGGAGTGAGTGTTGGGGAAGGGGTGATTTGGAGGGGGTCAAATCTTAGGCACCGTTTTAACTGATTAGTTGGCTCTCAAAGTCACCATGATTATCAAACAAGGCCGGGTCAGATACGAGGGGCAAGTAATCCACCTTCGCCTCCTTTGACTGTCCGAGTTTATTGAAGAGCATTTCGCTGATGCTCTGTCAGTCGCTTCATTGGTCAACTGGAAAAGGTCCTTCACTGTACACGTTTTGCATACAAACACTCGGTCAACGTACAATCGATCAGTTCTGTCCGTTTTTGTCTTTTATTTTCAGAGCAGAAGATTCTGTCCTCTCCAGCTCTTTGAGTGTTCCAGAGCAGCGGCAAAACATCTTAATCTCCAGTCTCTTTTCAGCATTTGTAAACAATCCAGAATATTATATTCTGCCTCGATTGTGTCTCGGTCCTCCTTTCAAGCCTTTCTGACCCCCTTTCAGTTTATACCTGTGGGGAAAAGAAGAGGGATAAATAGGTGTAAAACAAAAGGACACCCTTTCCAAAAAAAACGACGCAAACAGATTTTTTCCAAGCGCTCGTCGGTTTTAATAGCTCATTAGCTACGCCTGTTATATGGAAACAATAAAAACATGAAAACAAAGTTCAACTTAATACCTATACAGTGAAACATGGTACCTTTGAGACTCAACAGAGCCAAACGTGTGAAAAATGGTTTTAAACTAGGATTTTAGGTCATCTTATGGCCAAGATAAAGAATAGTCTGCATAACTTACTGAAACCAATAAAGCATATAAAATGGGATTTCCCCCATTTTATGTGGAAATAAGAGAATTAAATCTTTCTACAAATAGCAAAAACCCTTCTGGGGAATAACACGATTAGGACGACATAATACAAGGAAAACTAATTATCCAAGAAAAAGCAGATAAAGCTGTTTCTGATTTTCTATTTGGCTTACCTCAGTCGCTATGACGCATTCCTTCCTCTCCTCTGCTATAACAAATACCGACTGGTACATAGAGTCTCTTGAGGAACATATTGTAGATATCCTACACTCAGGCTTTTCACTGTAAACACAAATCACATGTGTTAAAAATGCAAACTAAAATATCCATAGAAGAGCTATGCACTGTATGTATACACAGAGCAGAGATGTCAAAAAGGTTAGCAAGTTAAAAGAAGATTTTCCGAGCTTGTAAAACCAAACTGGAGGCTTTAAACAAACCAGTTATGACACTTAATGACTCTAGTTAACATTCCTACTCAGCAAGGCTCCATTTATGCTCGTATAGACGTACGAGACAAGTGGAAAGTTCAAAACATTGAACTAATTACGATCAAAACAAGAACGAGTAGCAATAGGGAAGCTGCTCTTACCTGTACATTCTACTCAAAGGCATTTTATCTTCTAAACACTTGTCATAAATAAGACTTTTATCCTCTTGCGACTTTTCGTCCGTGAATTCTTTTGATTTAGAGTTGTAAAAGTCCAAGTGGTAATTTTTATGGATAAAGTTTGATTTTTCTGTGTCACAGTCCACCTCCAGACTGAGTTTCTGGTTGGTGTTTTTCAGCTGGGATGTTGGGATCAAGTTATCCCCCTGAACTTTGGATAAATTGTTCATAGTCTTTGTTTCTTCCCGCTGCCTTCGGGCCTGCCTGTGTATGTGCCGTAAAGCCAGGCCCACCATACACAGCAGCACAAGCAGCGCCACCAGACCCACAGCCAGAGAGATAGCCGCCCACTGGAAGCCATCGTCCCCCGGGGGACTGAAGGTGGCAAAGGATTCGCATCTAGGCCCGGTAAAGCCGGAAGGGCAGACACAGGTCGCTGGAGGCTTGCCTGGCCCGCCACCTCCAGTGCAAACACCTCCGTTGAGGCAGGGTCGAAGGGAACACTCATCCAGGACTCTGTCGCAGTTGCGTCCGCTGTATCCCGCCGGACAAGCGCAGAAATAGTCATTTATCCTGTCTTGGCAGGTACCTCCGTTAAGGCAGGGGTTACCAGCGCATTCGTTGATGTTTATTTCGCAGCGCGGTCCGGTGAAGCCCGCTCGGCAGCTACACATGCGCATGCCTCCTTGGAGTAGACAGAGACCACCTGCAGGGTAGGAGATGGACAGTGAGTGTCAGCAAAGGCAGAATGTGAAAGCAAGAATCATTTCAAGGCATTTCAAAATCAGAGAGAACATGATCCTGATGAAATCTCCCATGGGGCCCATTGAGTTCACACATCTCCATCAAATCCAGCGTGACCGCAACACGGTGTATTGTTCTCTCAACACAGAGCAGTCCTGAAGCCCTCAGTGTTTACAAGAAGACAGAAACTGAACTGTGCTTGTATGTTTGTCCCCTTTCATCAACAACTGCAGAGAGCTGTGGTGGCATTTACACACGGCTACCCTGAGCTGCCGAATGTTTACATGGAGGACAATAGACACCGAGTTCCCAACAATTCCTGTTGTTCCACACTGCTTCCAGTTGCAGGAGTTTAAAAGGAGGGGAGGGGGAACGAGGGGGAAGTTCAAAAAGGGATTGAGAGGGGCGCCAAAAAGGAGAGGAAGGCCGTACCATTAGCGCAGGGAAGCGACGTGCATTTATCCATCCTCTTCTCACAGTTGAGTCCAGTGTAGCCAGGGGGACACTCACACATGTAGCTGCGCCCACTGTCTTTCTCCCAGCATTTACCGCCGTGGAAACACGGAGAGTCGGCGCATGTCAGCAGGTTGTGTTCGCAGTGGGGGCCCTCGAAGCCTTGGGGACATGTGCACATGTAGCCGCTCTCCAAGTTCTTTGGCAAAACAAAAGAAAAGGCAAAAAGTGAGTCAGTGGGTAAAAAAAAAAAGTCAACCAGTATAGATTTTAATCCAGTCCACTTACTGTGCATATCCCTCCGTTCCTGCAGGGATTGCTGTCACACTCCTGCATCTCCAGCTCACAGTTGACCCCCGTAAATCCAGGAAAGCAAGTGCACGTATAGCTCCCCTGGCCCGTGTTCATGCAGGTGGCGCCGTTCAAACAGGGACGGTGATGTGTGCAGAAGTTCAGATCTGGAGGCAGAGAAGACGGTTTGTTTACAGGGTGTCTGAAGGGCGTTATTTTTAAAAAAGGAGCTATTTGCTGCTAGGCCTGTCGCAATAAACAATAAATCAATTAACCGCATGATGAATGAAAATTGTTGACCTCATTTTCATTTATGGACTTTTATCGTTTCTTCGTCTCTTTTTCTGAGACTGGATGACAAAAAGCTCAACTCCGGTGCTCTTCACTGACCCCTCCTTTTCTCTTTAAAATCCATTTAAACCGTCCCAAATCACGTTTTTGGAACGTTAAAATCAGCTAAGCTGAGAAGCTAAGCTACGAGCTAAGCTAACAGGCCGACCTCTGGGAAAAAAATTCCATCTTGTCGAAGCTCCAAAATTCACAGTTGAAACCCGTGTCTTCATATAAAAAGTTGCTTTTCTCTGTAAAAAGAGAACTTGTTTACTGATTTTTTAAAATTAAAACCTTTGTGTGAAAAATGCTATGCTAAAGAACTCAAACCACACCGAGCGTCCGCCATTCTGAGAATGTCAAAGGGCCTCCCTCCCATTTTTCTTAACGAGACACGCTGCTCGCTCCCTCACTATCCATCATTCGGTTCAAACCGTATTATACTGCCATCCAGTGGTCAAAAAAGGTACTACATGCAAAACAACAAACATTGCTTCTTAAATTTGGCAATAATTACTAATTATTGTTAAATTTCAAACAATATTATCGTTCATCGCAATAATTTCTGAGATAATTAATCGCTCAGCAAAATTTGTTATCATGACAGGCCTATTTGCTGCGGATGTGGGTGCAAAGTCACAACTGCACTTCAGAAGAAACCTAATTTACTAATGCATCCAAGTTAATTCAAATGAAAACAGTGCACACGAAATACGAGAGGCTTGCTATTTTTTTTTTAAAGGAACAGCAGTGGTCCAAGTCGTGTGGTGTACCTTGGTCACATAATAGGCCCCCCCAGCCCTCCTGGCAGTTACACTGCCACGGCAGCTGGCAGGTACCGTGCTTGCAGGCCGGGTACTTCTTACACTCGTCACAGAAAGTGCCTTGCCAGCCTTTTCTGCATCTGAAAAGTGCACAACATATGTTTCTTGATTACTCACTTTCCCCGGTTGGTGTAGGTTTTGTCGTAGCACACGAACAGAGCAAATCAAACTGGAACGTTTCAGCTTTTTTACGTGCGAAGTCTCTTGACATGGATTGATTAAAAGCAACCTGCCATGTTTCAACGCCTTATTCACTGATGATAATTTAAAGAAATCAGGGATCGGTCATGCAACATTAGCAGCTCCTTCAGCACAGTTAAAGACAGGCTTTACATGATATGCTAATTAATTACAGACATCTAAAAACAGTACAAAATAACGTGAGAGTATGCATCAACTAGGGGTTGTTCTTAATATTATTTGACTAAACTCAACCTTAAACGTGGTATGAAATCTAATAAAGCTTAAGATCAATTAAGAAAACTTAGGATAAATAATACAAAATAGTTTAATTTTTTTTAGCAGTTTTCCATTAAACGTTTTGTGAAGATGCGTTTTACAACTTTATAGAGCCAAACTAAGGTGAGCCTCGGGAGCAGCTTTACCACGTCTGGTATCTCGAGGATTTGCTCCCCCCAATTTGGGTCCGTTTTTGTGCTGTAAATTATGGATTTGACGGTAAAACGAGGGCGTGTTGGACTTCACGAGGAATTTCTCCCAGCGAGATGAGCGTTTGAATTATTCTCAGCGGTGAGTGAGTGAATGAGACGAGGTAGTGACAGGAAGGGAACACGGGAAGGAGAGAAGCGATACAGGGAAACCGGAGAGAGCGTGAAATGACGTTTTTGTTGATTTTTGTGAACTTCTGCCTCTCGCAAACACAAAAACTAGCGGCTGGCGATCAAAACAGTCAACCAATACGTCAACACTTAATACTTATAGATACTTACACACACTCCCCGGGTTGGGAGCAGTTTCCATTCCTCTCGCTGCAACCCTCGAGACAAATGGCTGTAACAGACAGAAACATAAAGATGAGTCTGTCTGCAGCTAGCGTTATTAAAGATTTACTGCCACTTTAGAACCTGTTAAAAATAAAGTGTAACAATTGTCAGGTAATCCATTAATGCTCCTTAAGAACAACCAAGGCTAAACAGCTTTTATTGTCTTGAAATAACCAACTGTGAGCGTGAGTGCTGAAGTGCACGAGGCCTTAACTTCAGTCATCTGATCCGAACCTGTCAGCCACCACCCCCAGCTGCTCCCTGAGAGGTGTGTGTGGTGGTGGGTGGGGGGTGAGTTTGTTTGTCCCGTTTTAAGTGTACCGGTCCTGCATGACACTGATTCTCAGGACAACATATCAAGCAGGACTGACAGTAAGCGGCCGCTTTACTGCGGAACAGATGCTCGCTCTCAATAGCAGACAGCTGTCGCCATTGTTGTTTGTGGTCTGCCGCAACCATATTTGCAGCTGCTACTACCGCGCGCCCAACAATGGCAGAGGGGGGCTAACATCGGTGGCGCGTGGCGGATAATAATGCCGCGATTAACCTTGGCGCGTGCAGTCGCCCGGACTCCTCCTGTCGGTGCCCGCGCGTGCACCTCTCGCCGCTCCCTCCTCGCGTGTGGTGTGTGGATTATGTTACCGGGCACGCGCGTCCACGAAAGGGCAAAATATGTTTTTATTTACCACAAATTAACCGTTCGCTTTGAACTATTACTTTTTTAAAAGCAGAATGTAAGCAATTATTAACCTCCGTGAACTAATGTAAATACTGACTAACTTGTGTTTGTTTCAAACTTCAACATGATCATGGCTGAGCCCAGGTAAATATTCACCTGCGTGAACGTTGAAGAAACAGGCTAAATGAGCTTATTGTGCTAGCTTAAACCTGTTTACGAATATATTAGCATGAGCGTTCAAGTTCAAGGTTCTTTATTGTCGTTCTCATCACATGTGGTACATGAGGTGGAATGAAACTGTGTACTCACGTTCCCAGTTATACGCAAACATATAACGTATAAAAGAAACGGTATCTAAGATATATGCTAAACAATATGCTAAAAGATCTACGCTAAACACTAATAATGTAAAATAATATGGTATATTAAAAAGCAGCCTGAACATGAGTCTATAGTGAGCAGATGGGTATGAAAGAATACAGCAGCATGAGATAAAATGATCTAAAAACAGCTAAAATTATTATCATTATTATTAGCTAAATTATTAAGTCATAAATGAGCAATTAAGGTAAAAATCTGTCTCCATAAACTAAAATGAATGGTGACCAAGTAAGTTAGCTTGTTGTGTTAGCTTATATTTGATTCAGGACTAATTAGCACAAGTGTTATTGCCATATTTCAGTTAAATTGAGTTAAATGTTCAACTTTGAGAACTAAAATGAATACAAACTGGCAAATTTAGCATGTTGTGCTATATATGGATTATTTTAATAAACCATAAATAGCTGAGCTGCACTGAGGAAAATATTCACAGCAGAACTAGAACGAACACGACTCCTTGTTGTGTTTTTTGGCTTTGTATCAGGATTAATTAACATAAAAGTCAATGCCATAGCTGAGCCGAGCTTAAATTTATGTTTGTTTCTGCATGAATGTGTTTTTAAACTGCATCTCTAAATCAACTGAACCCAAATGACCAGGCTTGTTCAGATTTATGTGAAGCGTGGGAGCCACTGGAAATTATAGCGTCTGAAAGATGCTCAATCTGTCTTTCACATGTATATTTTCTGTAGTCACCAGCGATTGATGCGTGCGTAATTGCAACAAGTGAGCCCATCTGGTTAGAATTTGGTGCCACAGTCAAAATAGCACATGCCAGTTTTTATTTCACCACCATGTGACACGGATGACAGATCCTCCATCACCCATGTGGTCACAAATCCAGCACATGGTAACCATTACTCTCATGGTGCCTCCTTCCAATCTACTCTTTGATTAATTGGTATTTGGTAAGAGAGGCCCTTGTGGAGCCAAAACGACATCGTGCCTCGTTTTGACGCTTTCCAAATCAGAGGTGTTCGTCTATGATTTGGCCAAGTTGGTTTTGCACGAGTATAATGTCATTCCACGCTGTCTGAGTGGTCACAGACCCACAACCACTTACACGACAGAATTATATGACCTTATGAGGGAAATATCAAGGAAGAGCACATTCTGCACCAAGACAGATTCTCAGACTTTAGGATATCATTATACACTACTAAAGCTGTAATGAAGATGACATCTTAACCACCACTGATATCTTTTACTTCTTCTATAGGCACAACTTATAATAACCGAAAAAGGCTATACACAAGTATGGAAATATACTCTTCTGTGGTAAGAAGCACCCATTAACTCCTTCTTGGTAGTAGATTTAGACAGCAATAAGTGCCGACGCAACTCAAGAAATGCAGAAAATTAATCCTCCAGGCGTGAGAACACAAAACTCTTCCATTAGTTGCTTACGTTCTTCACAGTATTTTCCTTTCCAGCCGGGAAGACAGGATAACTGCCCGTCTCGGGTGCAGGTGTAGTGGCCAAACCGGTCATCTCTAGGCGTGCATTTTTTGGAACAATTTTCGCCGTAGTAACTCTCGTTGCAGATGAACCGGTACGAATACTTCAGCTCGGTGTGTTCTCCGGTTAGTGTGTCCTGGGACCAGTCAGTTCCCACACCCAGCTGTCTTTGGATGGCAAAAAAGCTAATTATGAAGTCTGGGTTATTATCTGCACAAAGAAAGAAAGGAAGAAGGAAAAAGACATTAGAAGGGACGCAGAAAGATAAACCTTATCTCTTGGACTGATTGTGTTTTAACAACTTGATCATGAATGTCTTGTGGGATCAACAGTTGCCCAGAATCTACCCAGAAAAACAAGCGGCATCTCTTATCAAACCCCATTTAGCTAAGATGAAAGATGAACTCTGGTTGAAATTTCCTCTTTCTTCATCAGCAAAAACATTCCCAGGCCCGGTTCCCCTCCTCCAAAAGGGCACAACAGAGTAAGGTGTAAAATACAGGAAGATGCAGTCAGGGCTTTTTGGCAGGCGCTGTGTATTCTCACCAAAGCCCACAGCTCGTTCCCACGCCAAAAATAAACTACAGCGGAAGTTCAATTGTATTGGGTATAAGAATGAAAAAAGGTGTTCTGAAGTTCACAACAAAGGAATGAATAGGTGTGAAAATGGTCTGAAATCCTCAACTATTAACACGGGAAATGCTAAGTGGCACCAAATTTCACCAAACAACCCAAAGTTATTACTTTTTTTGATGTGTGTAACTGAAACATAAAAGGACTCTGATGTATACAGACACAGCTCCCTCCTGTGGTTATATATGATGCACTTACCTACAGGTAGATCTCCATGAGGTGAATGCCAGGCTTCAATTATTAATGAAAATGAGCCCTGAGGAGAGGAAAAAAACATGCAGTTAATAAAAAAAAAAAAAGATCTGGACTTCAGGGTTTGTTTTATCATCTAGGTGGAGATTCTTGCATGTTTTCTTCTCTCTGTGACATAAAGGAGTCACTGAGAGGCAGAACAATCTGTCGGATGAGCATTATCTAACAGTTATGGATTAGATGAGCAGTACTCGGTGCGCGCCTTTAACGCGCAGCAGGAACACAAGCACAAGCGCTCGAAATAAATAAAAAGAGACAAAAACAGAGCGTGCGCTCCATCCACGCCCTTACCGGCCACCCGAACCTGAAGGGGATCTGAACGTGTCCCTGTAAAGTGTCCTTGGCGCTGAAAGAGTTCATCCCCAGCACCGGCGTCGTTGTACTTCCAAAGATGCAGTCCCCCGGCGACACCACGGCCTGATAGTTCTTCAAGCAAATTTTAAAAGAAGTCCTGCAGCTGGGCTGGCACGCGTTCCCGTTGGCCAGCAAACCCCTGTAGTTTGTAAATTCGCGCAGATCCAGCTCAAAAACTCCCGACCCAAACACCTAAAAGAGAATGGAGACATTATTTGAGAATAAAAAAAAAAAAAGAAGCAAGGCCTCCATGTGCTTTGTCACCGAGGTTTCAGGACCTGCAGATGTATGGATCCTCCTTCATACCTGTGATATCAACGTGGAAGCGATGGTAAAGGTGAACCAGGCTGCCATCCTTTCTCGTTTCCCCCCCGCCCCCCTGGGCAGCCGCGTCACCAGCAAAGTCTCCTTATTCCCAAGTATTCACACCAAGGGAATAAAAATAATAATTAAAAAAAGTAAAACACAAATAAATCCTTCACTCCAGAGATGGAGGAGTTTTCAGCAGCTCCTTGCCGTGTGTAATAAAGGAACACCCGATTCCAATCTCCAAGTTATCCAGAGGTGATGGAAGAGCAAATATCCAGTGCGTCTCCACTGTACTCCACAACGCGCCACTCCGCCGAGGCTTGTTTTGGTGCTGAACTCGGTGCGTCAGCGCCTTCCTCACCTCTTCTTATTACTAGTGAATGAACCGTAGCGCGTCTCCTCCCAGATATATAAACTCCCACTGCGCCGCTCATTACATAAACTGTCACTCAGCCCATTCTGGCACCGCCCACTTTTACAAATTCAGCCCCCTTCCCTTCTAGCCCGACGACAATTATCCAGATTTAATACCCACTGGCATGGAGATGACCGTCCCACCAATAGATACTGGGCGATTATCAACAACCCTCCTCCCCCCTCCCTCACTTTAGCATCTGTTAACTTATTTTTAGCGCTCAGGACGCGCATTTTACGCACAACGAGAATTCTTGGAGGGTCGAGACTTGGAGAGACGGAGAGCAGAAATTCAATTAGTGTCCAACTCCATGCGCTCTTTTGCCCTTGGTTCCACTCAATTGCACGTCTAATTGGCCCCAGCCTTTGGAGCCCCCCACCACCCACCCGACACCCTCCCACCATCTTCTCAAAGCGCTGTGATCCTCCCTCGGGATGGATCACTAACAATGTCCGTAAAAAATGTGATTAGAGTAAAAAAAATAAAAATCTTTGAAGTTGTTTTAACTCGTGTTTTTCTTTTTTATTTTTTTATTTCCCAGCAGTTGAGCTTCAGCCTTCAAGTTGCTTTTTACGCACGAGCGCGTTTATTCCAACGTGTGGTTTCTTCTTGTTTTGTGGCGTGCCATGCCCACCCCATGTGTATTTACTTTACGGTTAATGGCTGCGTGCCTTCTATTGTTGCGGCGCGTGTCCTCTCTGGCCCTGATGCGGGTTGTGTGCGGGACGGGAGGCAGAACTCTTCAGCTGTATGCAAATCAGCTCTCCCCCTCTTTCTGCCTCTCTCTCTCTCTCTAACACACACACACATCCAAGATTGTCTTTCTATATTTACAGGGACTTTGCATTGACTTCCGTTCATTTTTTTCATACATTTCTATAGCCTAACCCTGACCCTGACTCTAAACCTAACCATTACCAGTGTTAGAGTTAGGTATATACTGGTAATGATTATTATTACCAGTACACCCAACCTAACCCCTAAGCCACCAACGGCACTTCTTCTTATGGGGCCCAGTCTTTGGGCCCTATAAGGAGCAGTTGGTCCTCACAATGTAGTATTTGTTGGAAAAATGGCCCTTACAATGTACACTGACCCCCCCCCCCCCCCCCCCCCACACACACACACACACGTGCCTTTTTCAACAATATTGGGCAGGAGGTTGGAATGGCTGGAGATGAAAGCAGTGATGGTCAAAGTGACAGCTCCGGTTCTTTTAATCTTGGAGAGGTGGAAAATGACACAGTTTTAATATAGACTGAAGACTAATAGGATGTTAGTAAATTATATAAAATCTAGATATTTTATACGCATGGTAACTTTAAGTTTAATGTAACACACTACTGTGAAATCAGTCAAACCACTGCATGGAATGAAATCTGTTTTGCTCTCCTGCAGAAGCTCTTCTTCTTGTAGCCAGTTCAGCTGTTTGAATGACATTCGTCTTTTTATGGCTATGAAGCTTCAAAGCAAGTTATTACATTTAAAAAAATTATGTGACAAATTAATTCCCTGTCAACACTGCAAAAGTGCAGCAACAAAAATGTCCCACGACATGTGGACTTCAGCATCTTTTTAATTAATAATACTACAGAGTTTTAGACTGAGATCTGTTTTTTGTTTGTTTGTTTGTTTGGTTAAGAAATAACAAAGTTGTAGCGTTTTGGTCAAACCTAAAATAAAAAAAGAAGCACAATCCTGTATGATGTGTGCTTACTGAGCACATGTGTATGATTCTCTGCTACTACCACGCCAACTGTTCAGCACAACATCTATAAAACTGACTGAATTGTGGCCATTTTTGTGTTGTCTAAGCTAGGCCTGTCACGATAACGAATTTTACTGGGTGATTAATTGTCTCATAAATTATTGCGATAAATGGTAATATTGTTTGTATTTGACAATTATTAGTAATTATTGTCAAATTTAAGAAGAGATGTTGGTTAATTTGTTTCGTGTGTAGTACCTTTTATTGACCACTGGATGGCAGTACAAGACTGGACCGAAGGATGGATAGTGAAGGAGCGAGCAGCGTGTCTATAAGAAAAATAAGAGGGAGACCTCTTGACGTGACATGAGCTGTGTCCCAATCCAGCGGCTGCATCCTTCGAAGGACACATCCTACCCGGTCGACGTAAGCCGGGTCCTTCAAAGACCACGTAGACCAGAAGTCAGTGGCTGTGAATTGGGACGGTCTAACCTTCAGAATTACGTAGACGTATGTGCCGCCAGCAGCATGTTTTATATCTTCTGCTGAGAGACAATCATATCCAGGTATGTAACAATTTTTATTTTATTTTTAGTTTACAAAATTTCAAACCTGTTAATCTAGTTTCATGGATAATTTCAGTGACTGAAAGACTAATGTATTAACTTTATTAACTTGTGCATAATAAATAAAATTTAAATGCATCTTATTAAATTAGTAACAATTTAATCAAATTTAATATAAATAATTTACTATTAAATTATATATACATACATACATACATATATATATATAATTTTTAAATTATCTTAAATTTAGAATACAGCCTAACATTTTCCAGTATTTTATTTTATAAGATCCACTGGTACATAAAGTGTCTGTAAAAATGTGAAACAGGTCTTTTATTTCATTAAATAGCACTGTGCTGTATATTTACATTAAGCCTCATTATTGTGATAATGCTTTGAAATCTTGTAAAAATGAAATCTTAAACTAATCATGTTTTTGTTGTTCTCTACATTTCTTTAACCAGCCCAGACCCTTGTACTGCAGGATTAGCCTGAGTGTCCCAGTCCTGGACCGTTACTTTAACCAAGAAGATCCTAGACTGGATTTCCGATGAAGCAGGGAGTCTCTGGCGGTGTCGCTTCATCTCCTGGACCTGGATCCACGACATGGTTCGGGGGCCACAACTGAGACCCTGGTGTTTCTTTTCTGGCTGGCAGGTGGAGCATCCTGCAGAGTGGTCTCAGGAGTGTTTGTGACGCCTCGTTCTACTGTCCACTGCATCGTCCATCATGACAGAACAAGTGTCCATTCACCACCAGATCATCCACCTGCCTAAAAACCCAGAGGACCTGGAGGTGGTGTCCTGTGTGCTCCCAGGGCTTCCACAGAGCCTTTTGTTGTTGTTTTGAATGAACTTACTGTTAATAAAATGAATTATTGACAATACTAGTTTATGTAATCACTTTATTTTTCAGATTTAAAACAAAAAACACCTTTTTCAAGAACATAAAAGAACAGCCATCAATTAATTTATTTGCAATTCTTTCTTTTTCTCCATTCTCTCTCTACTTACATTTGCTCTTCTCTCTGCTGCTTCACATCTTCTGACTGACTGAAATAATCATCCTCTCTGTCCTGCCTCTTTCTTCCCCGTCTCCATTCCTCTTTGTTCCTCAGCCCTGTCTTCCTGGTCACCCACTGCTGCGCTTGGACCTGGAGTGTCCTCAGTGATGGAGACAGTTAGGACAGGCGGTGCAGTGGAAGGTCTCTGTCCTAAAACCTCGTCCATGAGGACAAACCAGGGCCCAGTCGCAGCAGCAGCTTCCCACTAACTCCTTCCCCTGACCCGCCTGGATATTTACAGTCCTGAACAGAGGAAACATCACAGTTGGCAAAAAGAGAAGCAAACCATTTTTTAAACCTTTACATGTATTAACAGCTGCACGTACAAATTATGTTCTTCATTACACATGCACTTACTTTACATTTATTTTTTAGGTTGTCCCATTTCTTTTTTGCCTGCAAGCTGGAGTTACCTTCTCCTGCAGGCTCATCTTCTTCAAAATTATCCAACTAACATCAACATAAAATGAATGAAGAGGGGAAACATGGAAAATAACGTCTTAACCACACAGAAAAACTTCAGTTTTTACAGAACAACACAAGAGGACCTGTACTTCATTAAGATCGCAGGTCATGTACGAGGGTTAATGAAACGGTACTCAGAAGCATAAGATGAATAAACGGATTCATTCTTGTACCTCCGTGCCACAGCTGCAGTGTTTTGCACCAGTGAAAATGTGGCTGTTCTCATTCTGAAGCTTAATAAAAGCTTCGGTCTGCTCCTTCCTCTCTTAAAAAAAAAAGAAAAAAGAAAAAGTAGCTTAGCGGTGGTAGTACTATGGGACCCGCTGTATGAGCTGATCTCCGAGAAAAAAATAATACAAAACAATGTCTACGCAAAGGACAAAAGCTTTAAATCATAACCGCTTTAGGCTTTTAATTTTTTAATGCCTGATTTTAACATACTTAAATTTAAAAGTGTACACGCTCGCTGCTTCGTCCGCCATTACGACCAGAATTTTCTGTGTGCCCGCAATGCATCATGGGATAGGATGGGCTGCAAAGGATACACAGGACCTGTCCTTCAAATCGGGGGAAAAGGAGGTCGCATTCGTGGGCCGCATTGCAGGAGTCGTCGAATTGGGACAGGCCTCGGCGCGTCGCTGTGACGTAATCGGCTTTCGAAGGATGCGGCCGCTGGATTGGGACGCACCCATGGGCTGTCTCACTTTCCTTTATTCGGCTCTCAAAATGGCGGACGCTCAGTGTGGTTTGAGCTCTTTAGCATAGCATTTTTCACACAAAGCTTTTAATAAAAAAAAATCAGTAAACACGTTCTCAGCTTCTTTTTGCAGAGAAAAGCAACTTTTTACACGAAGGCACGGGTTTCACCCGTGAATTTTGGAGCTTCGACAAGACGGAGGTTTTTTCCATAGGTCGGCCTGTTAGCTTAGCTCGTAGCTTAGCTTCTCAGCTCAGCTGCTTTTAACGAACCAAAAACGTGATT